GGCAGGAGCAGGAAGCCAGGAGTCCGCGCAGCAGCCGACCGGCCTTGGCCTGAGCTGCAGGCAGCCTGACCTTGTGAACTTGCTTTTTAATATTTGGGCGTGGGGACGCCGTAAAAATTCATGTCCAGCTTAGTGCCCCACACCAAGACGTCCTCTGCGCTGGCCTCAGCTCACCCCGGCTGGGGGCGAGGATCCCGGCGAGCAGCCCCCCTCTCGTGCCTGTCCTTCGTGGGCCGGAGCACCCTCACCCGTGGTCTGGGCCCCGGCTGCGAGGCGCGGCCCACGCGGGGGAGGGGAGGGAGGGAAAGAGGCTCGCCCGCAGATAGCACGGATGTTTGTAAGGCATCCAAAATAAGCAGCCGCCAGCACCAATAAATAAGCCCATTAACCGGCGAAGTTCGAGTTTACGATCCCCCATGCTTTTTTCAAAGTTGCTGCAGGGGCGGGAATCCTTGTTGCGGGTAGAAGAAAGGCAAATCCGGCCCGGGAGCCGGGGCCCTGAGCTGAGAGGCAGAGAGGGACCTTTTCGCTTCCCCTGGAACTCAGAGTCGCCCAGACTGCATGTCCCTGGCTCCTGGAGAGACGTGAGGGCAGCAGGCCCTTGACCCCAATCAGTTGTTTTTTTTTTGTGCCTTCCCCAAGTCCCAACTATGTCGGTCTTCCTCTCCTCGCCAGGCCTTGGGCAAGGAGGGGGCTGCAGTGAGACACAGCTATGCTGCCCACCCCCCTACCAAGTAAGCACCCCGGACCCCAGGCTGGGGGGGCTACAGGAAATGCTTGTATGTCTTGGGGCACAACTCAAAGAAAAAATTAAGGCATTAAGTTCAAGGTATACAGGCCTGTCCTCCCAGGCCCTTCGTTCTGCAAGCACCTGGCAGCTTTGTGCTAAAACAGGTGTTTGGAAAGAAGTGGATGAAAATGTGAATTGGGAGGGTGGGTGTAGATTGGGGGCGCACTGGATTTTGCACGTTCCTTTTGGAGGAACTGCTCTTCCTGGGCAAGCAAGCTAACGGGGAGCGGGGAGCATACCTCTCTGTGTGTGACTTAGGGCATCCCTCTTGTGGCAGAGGCGGCCCAAATTCACCCTGGTAGTCAGCCCGCATTGCCTCGATTTAACCTTCTCCTCTTTATTCCCTTAAAATGCCAGGCAATACCAAAGGCGAAAACGCAGCCAACTGGCTCACGGCAAAGAGCGGCCGGAAGAAGCGCTGCCCCTACACGAAGCACCAGACGCTGGAGCTGGAGAAGGAGTTTCTGTTCAACATGTACCTTACTCGAGAGCGGCGCCTCGAGATCAGCCGCAGCGTCCACCTCACGGACAGACAAGTTAAAATCTGGTTTCAGAACCGCAGGATGAAACTGAAGAAAATGAACCGAGAAAACCGGATCCGGGAGCTGACAGCCAACTTTAATTTTTCCTGATGAAGCTCCAGGCAATGCCGTTTCGTTTTTGATTGTTTTCCCCCCCTGCTTCCAGAGAGCCATTCTCCTCCCTCTGTCTTCGGCCTCTTCCCAGGAACTCGCACCTGTGCGAGCGCCCGTTCCTCCCTCCCACACTCGCCATTTCGCTGGCCATTACATCAGTGCAGGGCTGGTTTGTTCTGACGTTTTGTTTCTTTGTCTGTTTGCTAGGTGCTGGTTTTTTGTTGTTGTGTTCTGGGGGAAAAGCCATATCGCTCTAAAATCCTACGTAGATAAAGATTGTCCTAAGTGTCAAGTGCGAACTGGGATGGTTTGTCGTCTGGATGACTCCACTGCTCAAAATGGCCCCTGTGCTCCCGGTGGAGCTGGTTTCCTGCGGGGGGCCGGGCAAACCCAGCCGGAGGCCAGGTCCCATTGTAGGCGCTGAGGTGTCTGGCCTGAGGTCAATGGTGCAAGGAGCCACCAGCAGGCTCCCGGGCCTGAAGTGTTGGGCTGTGTTTAATCAGGGGATCCAGGCCCTGGGTTTCTTTTCTCTTTCTTCCTTTCTTCCTTGGCAAAGAGAAGGGCTTATGGGCATGGGCATACAGGTTGACAAAAGGGCTTGACTTTGGCTGATTGGAACATGGAGGGAGTCAGGAAGATGAAATTTTCCTTCCTCTGTAAGATATCCCAGCTTTAAAAGAAAGAAAGAAAAAGAAGAAGAAGGAAAAAAAAAAAAAAGACCAGGATAAGGAAACTCCTCTTCCAGTTTGTGTAAGGTCTTGCATTGTGGGACTAAATTATTTCCCCTTCCTCTGAATTTTCATATCTTCTGGCTATAGATAAATAATCTGATGTAGTTCTGTTTATACATGTGGATTTAGTGGATTTTTGTCATAAAGTAATCGTTACCACTGGTAACACACGACAAGCACACCACAACTCTCCCTATCTTGTGGAGGTTTGTCCCCCCCACTTTTTTTTCTTCCTTTTTTTTTTCTTTCCAAAATTCATGGAAGCCGAGGAGGGCTGGGGCAAGCGGAATAGACTAGAGAAGGGAGACATTGTTTGGTTTCCTTTATACTGTGAAGTTACATGCATAAAAGGGTCAAACCTGTAGGTGCAGAAAAAGAAAAAAAACTATAAATGCAAATCTGTATAAATGTCTATTATTATGAAAAATTGCCAATCTTGTTTTATGCAAATGCATTCTATCGTTATTATAAATGTTAGTTCTAGCTCTATTTACTTCTAATCTTAAATCAGAATAAATTAATATTGTAATGCTGCTGTGCGTGGAAAAAAAAGATGATGTTTATGTTCTTATAGAAGAATAAAGCTGTGGAATGAAGCTTTTTAATTTTACCTCTTTTTTTGCCTTCTTATCTTCACCTTCCACTTTATCCCGTCCACCACTTTTACAACAGGAGGACTAGCCCGCGCCCCCTGCAATTACTTTAGGCATCTATTTAAATATTACCTAGACAGTCGTAATTTGTCTGGGCCCTATAGCCCTGGTGCCGTAAGGTTTGTCGGCTTTTGTTCAGTTTTATGACTTGCTAGTATATCTGGATTGTGGCTGTCTTGGACCGGTGGTTTCAGTTGAGAGAGGAGCTTCATAGACAGAGGAAGCCAAACAGGATTTCTTTCGGGAGCCCCAGGGAGGCTCGCACAGGCTGGTTATTTTGTGGGTCCCCTGGTCCTAGATGACCCCCAGTCTAGGAATCCCCGGAGCAGGCTGGGCCCACAGCGCCTCACTAGCGTCCGAGGCAGCGATTAGGTAGACCGC